TTGAACTGCCAGCCTTCTGGTTAGCAGTCAAATGCCTTAGGCACTAGGCTACCAGAGCTCCTAAGGAGTGGGCCCAATTCCAGGCCATAGGTCCATAGTCTCAGGAGTTTCACCTCTCTATCAGACAGTAAACCTGCTCTTTTTTTTTTTTTAAATGATCTTGAGATTTGTTCCACATTTTTCTCCTATTCTATCCAGGATCTCCAATTTTGATACCTTTTCAGGTGGTTGTCATTGGTAGCCAGGCACCATCTAGTTTTTCTGGTCTCAGGGTCATATAGGCTGAGATTCTCATGGTCCATTTGTCTTTTGGACTAACTGTTTCCATGTGTCTTTTGTTTTCTTTACTCTTCTTTGTTTCAGAGAAGGAGAGACCAGTAGTTACATCTTAGAGGACTACTCACAAGCTTTTAAGATCCCAGTTACTACTCACTAAAGTAGGATGTAGAACAATGTTTTTGTTTTCTATGTTGTGTCAGTTGAGCTTGATGTCCCCGAAACCATGCTCCTGATCCCACAGGCCTGTGACTCACTCCCTCAAGGTACTTGGCTGTGGCTAAGAAGCTCCTTCAACCTTGTCTCCTGTTAGTTCTATAATGTGTGTGGATATTTTTGTAGCACATACAAATATGCCTGTAGGAATATCATTAGCCACATCTATGTATGATGATGGGTATGTTTCCTGTCCATCTACCCACACTTGATCTTCTTGCCTGTCTGTGTATCTATCCATAGACTAGTGAAATGCAGTATTGTGTATGTAATAGTATTTGCCTTTGTTATCTATACCTTTTGTGTACCTCTCTGTCCTTTTCCTTATTGGTATTGTGCTGGTCACACACTTGTTATATTGCCTTTGCCTTCACCCAAATCAACACGTGACTCTTAACTAGTCAGTGGTTTCCCCTCCCCTCCCTTCCCATCCCTGGTAACCAAAAAAGTAAATTTCCTTCTCTGTGTAAACCTTTCCTTGACTTTTTATAATAAGGGATTCATACAATATTTGTCCTCCTGTGGCTGAGTTTTTTCACTTAGCATAATGTCTTCCAAGTTTACCCATGTTATGAAGTTATTCATGGATTCTTCATTATTCTTTAATGTTGCATAATATTCCTTTGTGTATATGTACTAGAGTTAGATTATACATT